TCGTCGCGCATGAGGGTGAAGCTGCCGCTGACGTTGCCCGACAGGCGGCGGCAGGGGGGGGAGGGGCGGCGGCGGGGGCCCGAGCCATGAGCAGGAGCTGCTGGCCAGCCCCAGCCCCCACCACGCGGGCCGCGGCGCTGCTGGCTCGCTGCGGGGCCCGCCGCCGCCGCCAACGGCGCACCAGGAGCTGGGCACGGCGGCAGCGGCAGCGGCGGCGGCATCGCGCTCGGCCATGGTCACTAGCATGGCCTCGATCCTGGACGGCGGCGACTACCGGCCCGAGCTCTCCATCCCGCTCCATCACGCCATGAGCATGTCTTGCGACTCGTCCCCGCCCGGCATGGGCATGAGCAACACCTACACCACGCTGACGCCGCTCCAGCCGCTGCCGCCCATCTCCACCGTGTCGGACAAGTTCCACCACCCGCACCCGCACCACCACCCGCACCACCACCACCACCACCACCACCAGCGCCTGTCGGGCAACGTCAGCGGCAGCTTCACCCTCATGCGCGACGAGCGCGGGCTCCCGGCCATGAACAACCTCTACAGCCCCTACAAGGAGATGCCCGGCATGAGCCAGAGCCTGTCCCCGCTGGCCGCCACGCCGCTGGGCAACGGGCTGGGCGGCCTCCACAACGCGCAGCAGAGCCTGCCCAACTACGGGCCGCCGGGCCACGACAAAATGCTCAGCCCCAACTTCGACGCGCACCACACTGCCATGCTGACCCGCGGTGAGCAGCACCTGTCCCGCGGCCTGGGCACCCCGCCTGCGGCCATGATGTCGCACCTCAACGGCCTGCACCACCCCGGCCATGCTCAGTCCCACGGGCCGGTGCTGGCGCCCAGCCGCGAGCGGCCACCCTCGTCCTCGTCTGGCTCGCAGGTTGCCACATCGGGTCAGCTGGAGGAGATCAACACCAAAGAGGTGGCCCAGCGCATCACCGCCGAGCTGAAGCGCTACAGCATCCCACAAGCGATCTTCGCGCAGAGGGTGCTGTGCCGGTCTCAGGGGACTCTCTCCGACCTGCTCCGGAACCCAAAACCGTGGAGTAAACTCAAATCTGGCAGGGAGACCTTTCGCAGGATGTGGAAGTGGCTGCAGGAGCCCGAGTTCCAGCGTATGTCCGCCTTACGCCTGGCAGGTAAGCACAGAGGGTCTCCTGGAGCCAGGCTGCTGTGGAGAGGGCTCCGGGGTTCTTGTGGCCCCAAGTCAGCGCGCCTAGTCTCGGTTCTTTCCTCCTCTTCACTACGCACTTCCTATTTTCTCTCGAATTTCTTTCTTCTACTGTCATTTCCTCTTTCTCCTCCCTTCTTCCATTTCTGTTCTTTTTCTTGTGCATTTTCTTAACTTCTCTCCCCCCCCCGGTGGGGGGGGGGGTTGAGTGGGCGGCCCCCCCCCACGTGTCATTCACCCTCCCCTGAATGTGCCAATTTTACCCTCCATTTCTGACCTTCTCTAGTTGTGGGACAAGGGACGGGGGGTGTGCAGTGTTCACTAGGAGCCTTCTCTTTACAAGACTCACAGAGACTGAGGATTGGCCTTTTTCAAAGCCCTGTGCACTTGAACTCTTGTTGAGACAATACATTTCAGTTTTCCAGGCTGCCCGGTCTCCCTATTTGGAGGCAGTTGAGGGGTTTTGCTCTTCAGAATGGAAAAAAAAAATCTGCGTTCTCGTCCTACCCATCATAGCAGGAAAACTTGTTTAGTTATTAGCAGGAGTCACAATCTTGACCGCTGGGGAACGGGTGGCTAGGTTACAACAGCGCTTCCCAAGCGCAGCTCGGGCCTTGGGGTTGGCGTGGGGAGTTTGTGACCGAAAGAGCCGGCTTCGGCCAGTTCCCACGTCTCTGCCTACAGAAAGGGGAGGGTGGAAGGATGAAGGGTGGGACTAACACATTCGCCTCTACCAGGATTTGGGAGAAAAAACAAGAATGCAGAGCTCCCTGACGAACTCGCGGGCCAATGTTGCCCGGCTCCCAGCTTTTGCTGGGGTTTGCCAAGGTTTGGCTTGGCTTGGAGAGAAGCTAGGCGCTCCTGAAGAGAGGTGCTGAAAAATTAAGATGCAGGTTAGTTAATGCATCTTGGCCACCGGCTACAGGCTCCGCCTTTGCATTAAGGGGACGCTGATTGTGCGCTGTAGCGCGGCTGCGGGGAGGGCTGGCGGCCCGCGGGAGGGGACGGGTCGACGCGCTGGTTACATTGTTCTGGTGCGGGCTTGGTTCTTTGTGCCTCCTCTAGCGGCCGAGCCGCGAGGTACAGCCCTCTATTGTTCTAGGAGCAAGGATACCTCCTGTGTGGGCGGCGGGAGCGAGAGAGAAGGACGCAGCAGTGGCTGCGACTGGCACAGAGTTGCGCGCTTTTGTGCGCACAGACCCAGCGCGGTGCGCGTGGCAATTGCGCTGCCTCCCTCCCCCCAGGACCTAGCCGCCGTCCCAGAGAGGCAGAGGTTCACCGCGCCCCACTGGGGAGGACACAGAGTACCCCACTGCAAGTCCGGATGGGCAGTTTCTCTTGCACTGGGCCCATCTCTCCAGATCGGTGGGCCACCAAAGGGGACAAATCGTAGTGGCAGTGATTTACATGGGTGCGGGAGGTCGTTTGTGCGTTGTGTGCGGCCAGCACGGTTCGGAGCCAGCTACATACAACGCGCTTCCGGAGCCGCAAGCTCAGGCTTCCTCTCCCGCTCCCTGGGGCTTTCCCCGCACCACTGAGCCTGACTTATGGGGTGCACTCTACCGACGCCGGATGGGGCCGGGGGCGTGTTCACCCAGGCTTGGGAGGGGGCGTTTCCACTCTGACCGCCTCCGCCTTTGCCGGCTGTTGGAGGATTCTGATCTTCAAGCAGTAATCGCCCCCACAGTACTGATCTGAAAAGGCAAAAAAACAACAACAAGAAGCAAACAAAAAAACTAGCTATCCCCCCAAAAGCTTCCCTAAATCGGTGGACTCCTAATACTTTTGTGTGGGTTTACTGATCTTTCTCTTTTAGCTTACTCTTCATTCTCTCCTACAATTTTCTCCTATTTGCTCTTGGTTCCTGGGAAAGATTGAGCAGTGAATAGAGAGCAGCGGTGAGAAATATACTGGAGGCTTACTGACACTTCTGAACAGTGTGGTGCCCCTTTGTCTTAGGCCCGAAAACATCCCCCTAGCCCCTCTCAGGTAATGTCTAGCATAGGCTGGCTTCCTGGGTACAGGCGACCAGAAGGAACGTGGCAGCTGGAGTGGAGGATACAGTTAAAGGCAGGATGATATCTATTCTATTCCAGACCATCTCAGAGCGCTGCCGCCCCCTCACGCCTGTCCAGCAAAGGACAGAGCTTTAGAAAGAAGCTCTTTCTTTAGAAAGAAGAAAGAAAGAAAGAAAGAAAGAAAGAAAGAAAGAAAGAAAGAAAG